CATGTAGGATAAGTCTTGATATACTTTTCTACTTGTTTTCTCATACCTGTCCAACGGTATTCGATTCTGAGCTTACTAAGAGTCCGTTCTACTCCTTGATGACCTGAGAGAGGAGTATCGTGGAAATCTTTAACGAGTCTGAGTTGTAAGAACATTTATTACTATGTTCTTACCACTTATATTACACACGTTTTATTTCTATTTATTTAATTCGTAATATATAAATAATTTCAATATAGTTAAAACTTTAGTATAGTATAAAAAATTGATTTTTTTTATAATGGTAAAATCAAATGTAATAATTTTTCTTAATATACAATAAAATTTATCAGTTCTAATATGACAAAATTTCATACTTAAGTAGCAAAGTTAAAAAGTCAAAATGCAGCTAATGATGGAAATAATTAAATTTTAATAAAATTCAAAACTAAAACCCAACCAGAGTATTAAAAAATAAATGTTTTTAATAATTTGTATAATAACTACTATACTATTTAATTGTTTACTATTCCTACATTTATTATGAGTTAATTAAAAAATTAATAGTTTTAACTTCGATATTTACTATAATGTGTATAATTTATTTTTTTTGTCTGTTACCATTCAATCTCAGCTCTCGCTGGACTGATTTTGATTAATAATATATCATATAACTAACAATTATTTTCAATTTTCAAATATTAAGTGGCTTATAATAAAAGAATTCAACGAATTAACTCGCTATGACAATCATGACTTTATCATATATAAACGTTGTCTATGTTGATATTGGGATCACTTTGTGTTTGCTCGTCAAATAAGCTATCATTTCGTGTAAGTATTCAGAGTTATTTAACTAATTACTAATATGGCAAGCGAAAATAATACGGATAGTCATATTTATGAAACAAATATGAATGTTGTGAAACGCAGAGTTGAAGAATTCTGGAATCGTCGTTTCTTGAGTTCCAATTTAGTCGTTGATAGTCCAGAAGAACCCCAAACATCAAGACAGTCTACAGGTGAAATTAATAACTGTAGACACTATTAAGATTAATTAAACTAATTATCAAGTAACGAGAAAAAGATTAGATATAAAATATAACAAGAAATTAAAAAAGATTATTCTCTTTTTGATAAATAATTATTATTTTTTTATTG